ACGTAGTAATTCATAAATATGGTTTTGAATCATTTCTAGCTAAAAAAACAAGTTAACAAAAATTTATTTGGTTTATATGTATTTGTATTTGTTAATACGGCGCTTGCTACGTGACGGCAATGGTGCATTCATACCTATACGGACTATCTGTTTAAATCCAACTTTTAGGTCATTCTAAAAAAATTTTTGAAATATTCCCTTTTCACTCTCCCGTATCTTTGAAAAACTTTAAACGTACTAGGGGAGTTCGATAACTAAATAATTTTTTGGGAAAAAAAGAAAGTTTTTCACCAAGAAGTTGGTAAGCTTCTCTACTTGGCCTCCCTTTGGCCTGATATTACATATTAATCTCCTCCGAGTGAAATGTTTCCTTAAGGTTCTCAAAATGTGTTTGTTTCAGCTATGAAGTCTTCGTGTAAGCCAATCCCCTTACCAGCAAGCTATGTCTTCTTCAGCTTTGGTAACAAGAAATATTTGGCACTAAATTGGGAAAATATGGAGGATGGGAGTGCAATTCGTAGCCGAAAGCTTAAGGGACAAACGACATTAAATTTTTTCTTTTGCATTCTCAAACCCGGTCGGAAAATGAATTTTTGAAAAATGCAGCTTAAGGTAAATTAAAAACAAAACCGATGCGACTGTCTGCTTTTACAAAAATACTTAAACGAACAATTGCATTAATTTTTAAATACAAAAAAAGACTTAACATATGCCGAACATGTACTAGGGTAGCTCATAAGTACACTTTTTTTTTGAAATGTAAAGCGCCTTAGTTGCAGAAAGATAATAATCGACATTCTAATAAAAATGCAAAAAGGAAATTTCAATTTGGTTGATATCATATGGTTTCGTCCAACGTTTGAAAATCCGCTTAAAGAAAAACAATCATTAAACGATCTATAAAGTTGTATTTTTGAATCGAAGTCGTGTGTTCTTAATTATATTTTCCCATTACCCTTCCCAGTCAAATTTCCCAAGTTTTTTTTTTTAAGATTTTTATTTTAAAAAGAACTTAGCCTTTTAGGTGGGTAAGCGAAAAAAATAGGAACCCGAAGCGAAAACCATTATCCCGTGTTTGGACCTTCGTCGGCATTAGCTTTCACTCAATTCATAACGGGTGATTTTTTTGAGGTTAGGATTTTCATGCATTAGTATTTGACAGATCACGTGGGATTTCAGACATGGTGTCAAAGAGAAAGATGCTCAGTATGCTTTGAAATTTCATCATGAATAGACTTACTAACGAGCAACGCTTGCAAATCATTGAATTTTATTACCAAAATCAGTGTTCGGTTCGAAATGTGTTTCGTGCTTTACGTTTTGTTCAGCGATGAGGCTCATTTCTGGTTGAATGGCTTCGTAAATAAGCAAAATTGCCGCATTTGGAGTGAAGAGCAACCAGAAGCCGTTCAAGAACTGCCCATGCATCCCGAAAAATGCACTGTTTGGTGTGGTTTGTACGCTGGTGGAATCATTGGACCGTATTTTTTCAAAGATGCTGTTGGACGCAACGTTACGGTGAATGGCGATCGCTATCGTTCGATGCTAACAAACTTTTTGTTGCCAAAAATGGAAGAACTGAACTTGGTTGACATGTGGTTTCAACAAGATGGCGCTACATGCCACACAGCTCGCGATTCTATGGCCATTTTGAGGGAAAACTTCGGAGAACAATTCATCTCAAGAAATGGACCGGTAAGTTGGCCACCAAGATCATGCGATTTGACGCCTTTAGACTATTTTTTGTGGGGCTACGTCAAGTCTAAAGTCTACAGAAATAAGCCAGCAACTATTCCAGCTTTGGAAGACAACATTTCCGAAGAAATTCGGGCTATTCCGGCCGAAATGCTCGAAAAAGTTGCCCAAAATTGGACTTTCCGAATGGACCACCTAAGACGCAGCCGCGGTCAACATTTAAATGAAATTATCTTCAAAAAGTAAATGTCATGGACCAATCTAACGTTTCAAATAAAGAACCGATGAGATTTTGCAAATTTTATGCGTTTTTTTTTAAAAAAAAAGTTATCAAGCTCTTAAAAAATCACCCGTTATATGGCGAATATTCAAGTACTCAAACTATATGGCTGAAAAGTCAATAGAAGTAGTTCAGAAGGTCTGAAAATATTTTGCTGGCAAAGGTTGTAGATGATCGGGTTGATGTGAGGAAAGCAGCCTTCGGGCGGATCCTGCGGTAGCAAGAAAACTTGAGATTGAGAAACCTTTGCACGTAGCTTGAGAGGGCTTCATTTTAAGGAAGCTCAAATCGAGAGCTGAAATGCCTTCGCATTAAAAAAAAAACACTAACTTCACAGACAATGCATGAAAAAACTTAAGATTTTCGACATTTTGAAGGGTTTACGTAATTTTTTGAGCGTTGATAGTGGCCAACAAACAAACATATGCCAACAAATATCTAGAAACTTTCTCAAAAAGATACTACGCGGCTTTCCCTTTTTCGCATTTGTTTTAGGCGGATTTTCAAACCTTTGGCGGAACCACAAGATATCAACCAAATTGAAAATTTTTTTCTGCATTTTAATTAAAATGTCAAATGTCAACCTTCTGCAACTACACTGAAGGAAATAATGCATAGTAAAAATGAATACTTTATATTTGATTATCTTTTAAAAATGTTCGTATTTAAAACTAATATTTTCATATCAAAATTAAGCACGCACGTATTTAAATGTCCACATCTGAGCATATACACTCTAAAAAAAATTGTGCAAATTCCCTAGCCAAAAAGGCAGGTTACCGATTTCCTACCTTATTATTCGCGAAATTACATGCTCGATTATTCAACGTATAGTTTGTTTAAATTTCGGACTTTTTAGAGTGTAATAACGCTGCTGTAGTGTGCGTACATTTACTACGAACGTGTGTACACGCTACAAAATACACATCTGCTGTTTGATTTCACCCGTAGGATTGTGTGAACAAAAAGGATTTTTACACACGAAAATGCTTAAACGAGAAAAATACATAATTATCGTGTAAATTTACCAAAAATTTGAAAAAATAAACAAAAATATACTCGATTTATAATCGCATTTTTAAACAGATTTTTTAGAGTGTATATGTAAGTGTACATATATGTACCAAACATGCAGAGCGGTGACAACACACATCCATACACTTGTGGAAAGCTGATTAAGTCAAGTGACATTCTGACTAGGTTTGGCTATTTTACTTCTGTTTGTTTAATGTTTATATTTTTCTTTATACAAGTCTAGCACTTTACCTAACCAGCGCCACATAAATTCACCTTCAACTACGCTACTGATTGATTTTAATATTTTTTCCCTTATTGTACGGCGCTTCACATTAAAAAAAAAAA